ACTCCAAAAAGTCACGTGATTGATAGTAAGCAATTGCAAACTATGCCTAAAATTAATGGAAGACATTGCACTTGTTCCCAAAATTATATCATCGAGTATCAAAAATAAGTCTTTTTCCTGATATTAAATGTGAAAGTTTGATCCATCGTAGGTAAAGTTTATCTGCATTCTTCGAATTCATTCTTTCATACTGATTTGCAAATCGCCTCAGTTGCGGGGCGCGTCTCGTTTTCCCGCGCATTTCTCGAAGCTATAACGAACACTCTCATTGGTTGAAAGATGACCACGTGACATTAGCTAAATCTAAATGTATCCCGACTCAGGAATTCCCTCGCGACCAGACATTAAGCGTATAATGAATCAGTCAGTCTGGCTGATACAATTTAATTTTCCAAAAATAATTTCCTTTTTACTACAAAAAAAAATGAGCTGCGATTTTGTTTTTATTCAATTTTCTTTACTAACAAATCTATTTTTTTGGTCATAGTAATAAAATAATTTTGCCGAAAAGCGAAGCGATTATCGGTGGAATATTTATCGAGCCAATAGTCTTCGAGCTACAAGCTATATTCAGCAATTTTCGCCATAATCACTGAGTCCGAGGAAAATAATTGTTTTAGCAAAATTTTAGACTTGAATATCAGAGAAAAGTCGAAATACAGGATTAAAACAAACGTTTCGATATTRACTCCGCTCTGGCAAACTTTGGAAAACCTCAATCACCGCTCTCACAGCGCGGGAAACTCTATTTTCAATGCTAAAATTATACCAAAATTTTAAAATGCATTATTTTCAGAGTTTTATTCATTTTCGAATAGCTTAATCATATGATTTCCACGTGAAACATTGGCAGGCTATTTGCGCATGCGGTTYCGAAACAATCTTTTCCCGATTTCATTTTCGATCGAACTTTCGTAATAAGATTCTTACTCGAAGGTTTAAACACTAGTAAGTCTCTGATGTACTAGGAGCTTAGGCATAAGAGATGAAGCTGACTTTCTTCGTATTTTGCATTGCGGTTGGCTGTGCTCAAGGTAAATCATACAATATTGAATATTTTTTCATGGTGCCTATTATTGTCAGCGCGCACACTTACTGCGCACCTACATCGAGGGATTCCCGCGGGTTTTAAGAGCAAATCGGAGGTACACGAGAAAACGTCTGCTTGGGACACATTTAAGGCAAAGAACAACAGCAATAACTATTTTTTATGTAGTAAAATATGGATCAAGAAGTAATCTTCAAGAATTCAGTCGTTTTTGGCGAAAAATCATGTTTTCACTTTCTAGAAAAAGCAGTTTCGATCGCCTCGGATCGGCGAATAATAAAATAACTTTTTCAATATTTCCATACAGATAAATATCTCATTCAGCTTTTACTGCAAAAATAATTACATAAAATGAGCTTTTGTCTTTGAAAGACCTTGAATATAAGCCCTGTTTGTAAAACTACGAGGAGAGGAAGGAGCTGGTAGAAATACGCCAAAAACAGAGCTGGTCACGCTGTTTCGTAACATCATCTAGCTTAGATGCACGGGTACCCCCATTTTTTTATCCGGATTCCAATAGCTTCTTGGGCAGTAAATGACTGGCACAATTTGAAAAAAATTAAAAAGGTTTCGCAATTAGTAGGCACCATCCTTAATGAAACAGTGTAATACAATCAATACCTTAATTTTAATTTCTGAGTGTGTGCGCAATAAGTTAAACGCCTTAAAACAAGGTTTTTCAGCTATAAGATATATAGTCTCCAGTATCCTAAGAGGATAAACCGATTCAGTTTTACAGTTTATATATTATATACCTCCATTCCTAGTCATTATTCCATTGTAATTCCACACAAAGAAAGGGAAAAAAGAAAAAAAATATCATACACTGACTCGCACAAAATACTATTTAAAGCAGCCATTCTTTCACATTCTATATGGTGCGTTGGTTCTTGGAATTTTGCCTAACCCAGCAAAAAGCCTTCAGAAAATCAAACGTTTTTCAGTCGATATTATTTATTAAGTAATGACTGATTATCAATGTAATTCTGAGTATCTTGCATATTAAATTTTTCTAAATTTTAAACCATAATAGGTTCTAATCCCATCTAGAGCAAAGAATGTTTTCACTAAGTTCTTGGTTTAGTATGTATGTTAGATTAATAAACACTACTGATATTTTTTATTTCATTGATAAATTTAGCGTATCAATGTATCAGTGACTCAGGAAGAGTTAACTCTATATTTTCTAGTCGTTTCTTATGCATCTCTAAGAATCATAAGATCAAGAGAATATGAACTAAGAGGAGGAATCTCTGGTATTCATGCTCGTAACCATGATAGGCACAGTTTGATGCTATTTTAGAATCACATTGGGCATCGTTTTTCTGCAAGCGCATAATGTGCGCGCTCTAACGCTGTTTGCTCGCTGACATGAGTAAAAAGCGTAGTGCGCGGGTGTATAACAACAAAGGTTCAAATGAATGATTCTAAAAATAGCATCAAAGAGTGCTCATGATGGGGCGCGGGATTCCTTCTCTTAGCTCATTTTCTCTAGTTAAGATGCATTAACATCATCTACTGCGTAAGATGTGCGATTTTAAATTTTCCCGTGGTTATTGCCCAAAATAGCAATGCATTATGGGAAAGGTGTGAGAAAATAGCGAATTTCAGAGGCTTATCATGAGAATAAAGTTGCTTACAACTCATCACGGGACTTGAACAAGAAGTCACGTGATAGGAAGTCTCTACGGGCTATTCACTGTGACGTCATTCGTCGAAAAACGACTTCCGGGTCCAAAAACTAAACGGGAGGCTCATATTTTCCCCTCTTTCGTGTGGAGATTAAATCATTGAGAATATTTTTCGCTTTATTCTAGCCGCTTTCGTAAGAAATTGGACTCGGAAATACGATTTAACCTAAATTTAAGGCTATGCTTCACAATGATTTGGTTTTGGTTTTAATGTCAAGCAACATGGCGGTCATGCTCCATTCCCATAGAAAGAAAGGAATGAACTTCAGTTAAGAATTTTTACGAGATACATAATAATTCGAGTTTCCAAAAAAAAGTTGTTATCTTTGAAACAAAGAGTCAATGCTTTCGTAATTTAAAAAGAGCATTGTCCGGACTTTTTAATCGCACAAAGCAACTTTTAGTCAAGTGTGCGCATGCGCATTCACCGTGAGTATTCTCAGAAATTAGCTGTTATACATGGTTCAGTTTAAAAAAAACAATTGTCTAGCAATATMATTTAATTTGCAGCTCTGAATTCAAAGCTTTTAAAAAAGGCTGGGTACTAGATAATAATCTGATTTTTTTCTTTTCTTTATTTCAAATACTATTTAGGGACAAAGCCCTTGGGCGAGTTTGTATACGTGTCCAAAACTCGAGGGCAAGCAAACAATGATTCGTGTGGTACCAAATCACTACCATGTAAGTCTCTACAAGTCGGTATCGACAAGCTTCCAAGGGGTGGTAAGCTGTTCGTTGATGGTGAAAACGCTAAAGTGGATCCCTACAAATGTGAATCATCTGCAGGAAAACTCGTGGTTGACAAGAATATATCGATTCAGAGCTATACAGCGCCCGCTCATATTTACTGCTTGAATGGTATCTTTCTTTTGGCAGATGGCCCTACTGGGATGAACATTAGTATGATTGGTGTGCAGCTCAAGAACACAGTGCTGCATATGAAAAACGTAAACGCGACGATTCAAAACTGCATATTCCTGGAATCGTCACCAGCTATTGATGTCAGGAACTCCCAAGGTCTTCCACTGTATTCACTGAATATCATGGACAGCATGTTCATAAGAAACCATAGATGCATAGACTTGATGCAAACAGATTCCAACCACAAGATAGGATGCAGTCGATTAATCCTAAAGTTAAGGAATGTCCTTTTCCAAGAGAACACTGCTTTGAGAGATGACGCGAAGGGCGGGTTGGTGTTTGTAAACCACAAGAATTGCCTTTGTAAAGATGTGTCGTTCTTGTCGACATGGGACAACATAACAACAACGACCAATCGAGGAAAAATTACGAAACACGAAGACAACGGTCAGAGAATCCGAAAAAGGGTGCAAACTGTGATAAAGGAAAATCCAAAGAAACCATTAAATGGAAAGAGCACTAAATGTGACCCGATATTGGACAGCCTCGTCGTGGTCTACACATGCAGTGCTAAAATCACCTTAAATCAAGTAACAAGTGATTATAATAGCGATATGAGATTCCTGGGACTACGAAGTTGCCATAGTGACGTGCGAATTTACAGTTGTGATTTCCATAGACACATAATTGATAGCCCAGGAGGTGTTATCTACATCCCGGTAGGGTATTCCACATCCGTTGTCATTAAAAATAGTGACTTTTCTAGAAATTCTGGTTCCATCGGAGGCGTACTACAGATTGACGGTGGATCCAAAAAGACAGCCATACTGAATTTATTCAATGTCAGCTTTCTTTACTGTTCTGGCAAAACTACTGGCTGTGCTGTGTCTATCGGTAGCGTCGAAAAAAGAGGTGTCGACAAGGTATTTGCGACTCTTGATGGCGTCCTATTCAATCGATGTCACAACAAGATTAAGAGGGGAAAGGGAAGAAATAATCATGGTCCTCTATGCTTAAGAGCAACAATGGTGACTTCCGTGAACATACACAACTCCACCTTCTTCCGAAACAAAAATAAAAAAACTGCAGCGGTAAACATTAAGCACAGTCCGACAACAAACAGGGGCTCCGTAGTCAAAGTTCAGATCCTGAGGACAATATTTTATCAAAACGCTT